ACAAATAAAAATTTGTAAAAATATTTAAAATCTATCATAATTGACAACAGTCTGTACAGTACACCTAACAGTACACCCAGGTAAAGCAAAACATAGGCATAGCAGAAAAAATGTATATTCAGTTAGAGATTGGTAGTTTTTGGGACATTTTTGACAATTCCTAAGATGCCATTACTTTTCTTCAATGAATCTCACATTGTGAGGATTGTTATCATCAGTATTACGTATTTATACCCTACACAACTATGTTGTCTGGGTATTATAGCTTTGTGCAGCCCAGAGAGTTTACCGATGATGCCGTATTCAGATATTATTTATTAACCCGTTACCACACTAGAGGGCGGAAATTTTGCCCTGATCGCTTTGAAATTTTCCATGAGGTTTCAGTTATGGTCAAGAAGAACATCTATCACTTTCGGTGATGGTCAGATAGTAATTTTGGGATGAAGTGGTCCAAAAACTTAAATTTTTGTGTTTTTCGATCTATAGGCCACAATTATAAGCCGAACATCACAACCCACGGCGAAGGGAATCTGGAAAAGTAATTAGAAGCGCTATACTGAATATTAGTTATATTCGGAAAATATCACAGTCTATGGAAGAGGTGCTGTTGACCTCCAATCTGGCAACAGGCTGCAAATATCACGAAATATTGCTCAGGCTCGGACCGAATAAACAGTTCGTAGTAGTTATAGCGTATTTGAATGAGAAATATGTCTCAAAATTTCGGGACCGGGAAATGAGTTCGCCACAAGAAAAGTTCGTTATAATCGGTGTTCGTTATAAGCGTACTCGCTATATTTTTATTTTTTAAAATAGTTTCTTCTACTGATAACATAATCGATCAAATTCGGTACAGAGGAATTCAACGCCAAAGTTCAACTATGCATTTTAATACCCTACACAACTATGTTGTCAGGGTAATATAGCTTTTTTCAGCCCCAAGAGTTTGTAACGCAGCGAAATATTGGTCCTAGAGCCACTTTAAAGTATACCGTCATATCTCGACTAGCTGAGTTGATCTAGACATGTGTGTCCGTCCGTCTATAAACACGATACAGGCCACAGTTAAGAACCAATCTTAACGAAATTTTGCATGTAGGATGGGTGCTGACCATTTTTGGTAATATTTAGGGGAAGAAATTGTACACGGAGAAGGGGATTGGGCCAAAGAATCCGCATGAGTGTTTTGATAAAGATCGGTCTTTAATTAGCGGGTCAAATGGCTTTTGTGTGAAAAATGGCAAAATTTGTATTCTATGGCGTGTATATTTACTCCTGAAGGACATAGACCGAAGAATTTGGCAGTATATTCAAGAGGAGTGGTAGACCTTTAAATTGATACCAAGTATATCGTCGTATGTACTCGGATGTGGGAATTAAACTTAAATATTTATAGGTGCTTACGTATTCAGATATTATTTAGTAACCCATTACCACACTAGAAGGCGGAAATATAGCGCTTCGCTTTAAAATTTTCCAAGAGGAACCAGTTTTGGTCAAGGACAACGCCTATAATTTTTGGTAAGGATCACATAAAAATTTCACATGAAGTGGACCGAAAACTTAATTTTGTGTGTGTGTGTTATTTTAGTCGATCTATAGGCCACAAGCCGAACATTACAACAAAACTTAAGGGAAGGGAATATGGACAAGTAATTAGAAGGGAATTAGAATATGTCAGTGTAAGGAAAATGTGCTGTTGATCTTTAATCGGTCAAGGAGGTGCAAATATAACGAAATATCGCCCAGGCTCGAAATAACATCCGTCGAAAGTTTGAGTTCCGTGGTAGTTGTGAAGTAGACGAGCTCGTTGATAAGCTAAATACTACGATTTGATACAGGGTTATAAATGTTAGTTATAAATAACCACTTGGGGAATATCCCTAACAAAAAACTAAGGTAACTGATGAAGATCAGTGGCGACATCCGAAAATATGGAGTGACATATGGAGTCATGTCGTAACCCTTGGTGGACAATACCATACTTTTTCCGCTAATAAATATATATATATATATTTTTTTTTTTTTTTTTTTGAAGAACGTATTGAAAATACTGAACTTCTGGTTGAAAAACGTATTGAAACGCATTTGAATGAAATTTGGCACAACTAATTTGTTTGGCCCAAGGACGAACCCTATCCCATATATATTTTCGTCCGATTTAAGGTAAATGGTGCAGCAGAGACCCTATATATCTGTCGATTTGCACGAAATTTGGTATAACGTACAGAATTGTGACTAGAATGATGTCTTCCAAGTTTCAAGAAAATCGATCCAGATTTGGATATAACTTACATATATAGTTTCGTCCGATTTCATGTAAATGGTGCACCAAAGTCCCTAAATATTCTTGGATTTGCACGCAATTTGGCGTAAGGTACTGAATTGCGCCTACAGTGATGTCTGCCAAGTTTCGTGAAAATCGTTTGAGATTTAGATATAGCTCAATTATATATTATTGATTGATTTTAAGTAATTGACGCACCAAATTTCGTTGAAATCTCTTCATATTTGGATATAGCTTCCATATATATTTTCGGTGCATCAAAATCCTCGTGTTTGTCAGATTGACATGAAATTTTGCAAAACGTACAAGATTTAGCATAGAATAACGTAGTTGCATTTTCTAGAAGTTCAGACATAGTCCAACGGATGTCCTATTTATATTTGCTTGAAGTCGATTTACAACTTTTGTCCCATTGTAACAAACGAATGACTTGTTCTTGGGCGCATTTTTCAACCGAATTCGTTGAAATTTTGTACATTGTGTTGTTATTGGGTACCAAATATCTCCACTAAAAATTATAAATATAGGTCAATTTTTTCGGGTAGCCCCCATATAAGGGTACCCCTATTTTAAGGACACACATATTTTGGGGGCACATATTTTTCAAACGAATTCACTGAAATTTGGTATTTTGTGGTCGTATATGGTAAAAATTCCCCTACAAAAAATTATTAATATTCACTCCCGTTTTGGGGTAGTCCCCATGTAACCCCTTTTTATATTAAAATAGTTATGCAATTTGTTCCGCGTTTTGAGTTTGGTTCTATGATTCTGTTGCAATCATTTCATCTGCGGAGGAGAGCGAGTTAAAAAATTAGAACTTAGCCGCTGTGTGGAGGTTCCGGAAGGAGTGGACCGATATTCCCCATCTTCGAATTTGAACTAAGTTTGGAAGAAATAATAAGATGGGCAAAGTTTGAATGAAATCTAAATTTTCTGAAACGGATTTGGTCCAAAGGAACATGGGGTCTAGAACCAATATTTCGTCTAGGCACATTTTCACCGTTAAAGTGTATACACCCTCATTAGCCATAAGGCTGAGGATATAATTATCCATTAAAATTTTCAGAAATTTGTATTATGGTTTACACTATGGTTTACATAATCCGTTTTTAGAAATGTCGGTATAGGTCCACTTTTTGATATGTTTCCTATATTTTCATTTCTAGTACCTGTCAGTATATCTATGGTGGAGGGTATCCAAAGTCCGGCCCGGCCGATCTTAACGCTTTTTCACTTGTTTTTATTTGAGATAGATTAGAATTTAAACATGAATTTAAATTTGTATTCCTTTAATGTATATAATTTTTAATTCATACATCTAGCTTATATTCTTATAGACTACTTTACAAAATAAAACCGCACGATAGTCCCATTTTTGAATGAATAACAGCACTAACTTTTGATAGGTACAGGTACCACGGTTATTGATCTACAACTATGGTAAACTATTTTCCAATAACAATATGTGTGGGATATATTTAAATTTGTTTTATCAATTATGAGTAATAAAATCTAAAGAATGATTCCTCAAAGTTTAATCCAAATATATCCATTATCGGAAATGTTTCAGCAAAAAAAAAAGTACAAATTTATCAGGTTATTGATCATAGAGTTAATGTGGTTTTAATCTGGAGATGCTAACCCAGGGTTTGGTGTTGTCCTAAAATTCGAGCGAATTAAAAAAAGTTCTGTTTTGTTATCTGAAAAGATTTAGTTGTGTTTATTTCTTATTTTCAATTTCATAATTTTTTGTTTGTTTTCAATTTATTGTTTTAACAATTGTTTGAGAAGAGTAGTTACAACTTAATAAATACAAAATGATACAAATGTGTGGGTGGGTTTCAAATTTCAAAGTTCATGGTTTTGATGATAATGGATAAAGTTCAAAATAATACTTCGTTACAAAAAATAATAAATATATAGTAATAAAAAATAAATTATAATAAGAATAAAAAATAAATACAAAGAAAATAAATTAAATAAATAGAAAATTGGATAAAGACTTCGGAATATGAGATCAAAAAATGAAATATTAAATCATCAATCAATTAGTGTGGTGGTCTCTACAAAGGAAAACAAAATTTGTAAAGTAGACCAACCTATTGTCTTTTTTGAAGAAATTTGTGTACAAATACGAGTATAAGTCATAATTTTTTTGGTGAATTTCAGAAAAAAGTTCTTGTTGATTTTTTGTTGTTTAATTTTTTTTTTGTAGTTTTGTTATAAGTTATGTGTTATAAAATTTATTAATTAAATTTCATAAGACAATAGTTGATTACTTTACAAAATGTATGTTTTTATTGTGTAGAGATTTTGAAGAAGAATAAAAATTGTATGGGGTTAATTTTTATTTCTACAGAATTTCATGTTGCGAAGAAAGTCTTTTTTTATCGTTTTTTGGGGCTTTTTGTTCAGATGGAAAATAGTTTTGTAAATATTTCAAAAAATTCAAAAAAGTTAATAAATTAATAAGAAATGTTTCTATATAGAAAGGCATGCAAAAATTTAATACTAAAGAAAAAAAATAATATGAAAATGAAAAATAATGAAAAGAAAAACCCTTAATTGTAAACTTCTAATTTCCTGAAGATTGTAAAGATCCCGCTTGGGGGAGCAAGATCTCATTTTTAAGAAAATCAAAAAATTTTCCTTCACAATTTACAATTTAAGCTTTTGTTGGAAAAAATACTCAGCAGTTTCAGCTGATTTACCACTGATTTGAGGGTCTACGTTCAGCCCCAGGTGCAGCCGAACCTGAAAATCGTGGTGATGATGCATTCGATGATGTTTGCGGCATCGTTGAAGTGGTTGCCTCGTTGGCCTGCAAGGTGTGTATGGCAACCAGCATTTTCTTGCGTGCTCCAAAGGCTGTTATACCCAATTCCATAAGATTCTCCTCCGTAAGGGTCATAAACATTTCCAAATCGATTTCGTTTAAAACGAAAATTTCTAAAAAAGAGCAACAAAATAAAAGTAATTTTCTCACACTCTCCCTCTCTCTCGTTCACACACTTACTGATGTAATGTTCCAAACCCAGAGATGTCAACAAGGAATGTATATCCTTGTATTGGGTCAATTGAAGTCGGCGATTTGTTGGCGTTGAGTCAACAATACCCGTTGTTGAACCCAACCCATAAGGTGAGACCAGAGGTCCAGCTCCACCCCCTACACCCAAACCAGTTGGTCCACGATGCCACGGTGATAGATCATCAACTGTTTCCATTGGAACTGGTGAAGTGCGACTTAAACCCATACCCATCCAGCTGGGTGTGGGTGTGCGTAATTCTCCAGCAACTGGTGGACGTTCCATGGCCTTGAAACCCATGGCGCGCTTAATGTCAAAATCAAAAGTACGATTGTGCTGTAATGCAAAGGCAAATTAGAAACTGAATGCTGGTCTGAACACGAGGGTAAAACTAAATAATCGTTTTAGAATGTCGGAGGAGGGAAGAGGATTAATACCAAAGAGGCTTAATCACAAATGACTGTAATTACCCCTTCACCCTTACCTTCAAGTCATAGTGAGAGTTACGATAACTTTCAGCGCTACCGGGTACCATAGGTCCAATCGGTCCTGAAGCGCCCAAACCCAATAGAACACCATCACTGGATCGCCGGCCCAAACGACTGCAACCTGCCTCACTGCTATAATTTGAATCGGGTGAGAATGGTGAGGGTCGATTTCCGTTAAGCAGAGATGGCCCATTGACTCCATTGTTGGTGTTAACACCCAAAGCATTACCAAATGGTGGATAGGCCTGTTCCAATGATGTTGTACTACTGCTGAAACTTTGATAGCCACTGGTGTTGTTGCTGCAGCTATTGCGTGGTGATATGTTATGAGTTTGTGGCACGTGTTGTTGTTGCTGTGCCTGGATCATATGATTTGGTGGCTGCATTTGTGTTTGTTGAATTTGTTGTTGCTGCTGCTGTTGTTGATGATGATGGTGATGTTGCTGCTGTTGTTGTTGCTGCTGCAGTACCTGTAAATAATTATTGTTGTGATGTTGATGTTGCAGATGTGGTGGCTGCTGCTGAGGTTGAATCTGCTGCTGTTGTTGTTGCTGCTGCTGCCTAGCATAATTGCTATTATGTATCTGCAAATATTTTTGCGTTGGCGAACAAATGCCTGTCGGTGTGGTGGGATAGAGACCACCGAATTGTTGTCGATTCAACTGATTTAAGTTGGCATTGTTATTATTGTTGTTGTTCAAAAGATTATTATTGTTGTTGTTATTGTTAAGCAACAAATTGTTATTGTTGCCATAGGGCGACAATGATATGTGTCCGGTTGTGGCCGGCATTACATTTGGAGTCTTGGGACTTTCGTTATAGCCAGCCAATAATGCTGTCAGTGTGGTGCGATAGGCCAAATTGTAATCTTTGTCCTGTGGCATAAAATATCGTTCCGGTATTTCCGGCTTAATCAGGGGTGTTGTCAAACGTAAAATCTCTTGACGGGCTTCGTAGATTTTGTCTGTCGATAAAAATATGTAAAAGAAAAAACAAATATGAATTTGTGTATGTATATAATATTTTACAAACCTTTCAACTTACCTATAAACTTTTCGACTCCTTTAATAACAATGGCCAAAGTGCTTTGTCTTTGCTTCTGGCGCAATGTTATATAAACGCCATATTTAGTGCTAAGGCTCATTATTTCAGAGGCATCGTTTTGATTGTCGGGAAAGTCAAATATTAAGGCAATCGGTAAATTACCCTATGTATTTTTTGTTAGAAAATATAAACATGTATATGTGTGGACAAATATAGGTCTACTCACAAGTAATTGTTGTCGTGCCTTATAGACACCTTCTATGGTCCCTGTTATAGTCACTTGAGATTTTTTCAATGGTTTAACATTCATATCAGATAGATCGGGAAATATTATCTATAAAAAAATATTTAATTAGTAAGAAAAAGACGAAAGTCGAACTGGGTCAACTACAACATAGCCCAAACTACTATGGATACATACAAGGATCTAGTTGTAACCTACAAGAATATTTATACTGACGATTTTAGATGTATTTGTACAATGTCAGATGTAGCATCTTTGGTGAAACCTTTCATATTTGAATCGACTTCATTCAGTCCGTACATTCATATACCTTTTTGGCAAACTATGCCCTATGTTACAATATGAAAATGTCTACATTGCAAAAAATAAATGTCTAAAATCCAGTTTAAGGACCGAATCGTATTGAAATAATTATCATAATGAACTTCGGAAATCGATATTTCCTGAGATACTGGTCTCAACGATTTCTAGCAAATTTGACATCTACTAATAGAAGAAAGTCCACATAAGGGTTCTAGTGGAATTTTGGAAGCTAATGTCTAAGGTGGTACGCTGTGTAAATGCATTTAATTTAAATTTTAGTAATAAATTTGGATTAACTCGTAGGAAAATTAATATAAAGAGGGATTTTTAAGGAATTATATTGTTGGCAATAATAGTTTAAACAGTTCACGCACGTTTCGCGTTTTGTTTCACTGCCAAACATCTTCAGTCTGGTCTATACATATCCTTAAATATTTTAATTTAAACCAGTATGGAAAGTTCAGAAGATGCCCATATGTACAAAATCCTGTCGATAGAACAGACATAAAATCTTTGGAGAATCTATCAAAATGTGAACCGATTTCAATAAACCCTAACACACATCATTCTGAATGGTATATGGGAACTACCTCCAAAAAGGGTCAAATATTAATAACTTTTGGTAGGTAGATATTATGTACAAAATGAAAAGACCAAATTACGGCCATTTCGGTTGGAAATCATGCCCAAATCCCCCAAAATATCGAAAACTTGGAGGTACTTTAATAGAGTGGCTACCCAATTTGAATTAATAATTTTTATTAGGAAGATTTGGTACCCAACAAGAACACAAAGTACCAAATTATGTGTAATTCGTTCGAAAAATTCGCTCAAAAGCCCCACAATATCGCAAATTAGAGGGTACCGTTATATGGGGACTATGCTTAAATGGGAACCGATATCCATATTCCGTTACAAATCAACAAAATACCGAAAATTAGGGCGTACCGTTATGTGGCGACTATGCCTAATAGTAGATATAGCCCATTATCGAGCTTTACCTGCAAAATATTGGCGATCTATGTCGATTCGTTTAGAGGCCTGAGTGATTACAACAGACAGACAAAAAGACGGGCATGCTTAAATCGTCATAGAATTTTACGCTGATGAAGAATATATATATACCTTTTAGGATCGGAAATGATTATTTCGATGAGTTACGAACGGAAAACAAACTTAATATATAATATTATGGTGCAGGGTATAAAAAGGGGTTGTTGGGAGTTTCCCCCCAAAAAGAGACCGAATATTAATCATTTATTAATACGGGCATTCGTTACTAAATACAAATCGAAGATACAATATAATTCGCTCGAAAAACGCAATCAAAGTACCGAAATTTGGGGGTAACATTCTACGGGGTCTACCCAAAATACTCGACCAATTTTGACAATTTTTGGCAGGAAGATTTGGCACACAATTATAACTAAGCATACCAAATTACAGCCACCGTTATATGGGAGCTAACCAAAAGAGTGGACCTATATTGATCATTTTTTATAGAGAGCGCTCAAAATTCCCAAAATACAGAAATTTAGGGGGTACCATTATATGTGGGTTACCAAAAATATGGACCAATATAACCCACCAAATTCCTTAAGAAAATAGCATGATTACAACAGAGGGATGGACATGGTTAGATCGTCTTACAATTTTACCCTGATCAAGAAGATATACAGTCGCGATATCCCAATTTAATGAGACAATTCTTTGCATTGATTCAAAAAAGTTAAACACTTGCATTATATTTAAACTGCATGTTGTTACCTCATTAAAGGGGATTATTCCCATTTGTTATACCCTTCACCACACTGTGGTACAGGGTATTATGCTTTTCTGCATATGTTTGTAACACGCACATGGTTCCTTTTGAGAATATGCATAGAATCACTCTCTGAGTCGATTTATGCATGTCCGCCCGTCTGTCCGTTCCTCTGACCGTACTTAGATGCTAAATTGTAAAAAAAGTACAGGTAGCATTTTTGATTCGAATTTGATGAAATTTGGGAAAAATCGATTCAGATTTAGATCTAGCTCCCATATATAGTTTCGTCCGATTTAAGGTAAATGGTGCATCAAAGTCCCTATATATCTGTCGATTTGCACGAAATATGGCACAGCGTACTGAATTAAGTATAGAAGGTTAGGTTAGGTTTGGGGATGTGCAGTCACATGTATGACTGCAACACTCTGAGACCGGTTAGGTCCGTTGTGATCATCCACAAGAAGATATACAGCCAAGTGAGGAGACAAGAGATAGATCTGTAGGGGAGAGAAGATTAGTGAATTAAAGGAGTGAAGGCCGATGGTCCTATGAGTCAGACAGAAAAGTGTTACGTGCCAAGGTTGTGTGCTCCTAACCACTTTATGTTTCTAATTATGCTGTAGATTAGAGCAGGTTTGGTTGTTGAGAAGAGGCTGAGACTAGGTAGAAAATGAGCACCCATTAGTCTGTGCCGCCTGTAAGCCAGGGCTGGGCACTGGCACAAGATATGCTCAATTGTCTCCGTCTCCTCCTCGTCAACACAGAGTGTACAGTAATCAATTGCATCGAGGTCCCATTTCCTAGTAAAGGCCCTGATGTTGCAGTGACCAGTGATGATTCCTGTCACCACTCTAATTTCGGCTAAGGTTCAATAGTGAGCGCGTTCTTTTGGTTGACAGAGTCGGCCAAATGGATCTTGACACGTTGCACCTAGGTTCGTTGTGCCAAAGTTCACAGGCTGTTTCGTCAAAGAATGCCTTAAAATTCCTATAGTAAAGACATATGGATGGTTTGATTGAGTCATCAGTTTCTAGATCGGTGGATTGAGATCCTCGTCTAGCTAGACGAAGTCTAGAATAATGTGTACTAAGTTTCGTGAAAATGGGTTCAGATTTAGATAATGCTCCCATATTTATTTTCGTCCGATTTAAGGTAAATTGTGCGCCAAAGTTCTTACATAGCTTTCGATTTCCACGAAATTTGGCAAAGCGTACTGAATTAAGCCTAGAATGAACTAAGCCTAGTTTCGTAAAAATCGGTTCAGATTATGATATAACTCCCATATACATTTTCGTCCGATTTAAGTTAAATGGTGCACCAAAGTTCTCATATATCTTTCGATTTGCACGAAACTTGTCACAGCGTACTGAATTAAGCCTAGAATGATGTGTGCTAAGATAAGCTCCCTTATATATTTTCGTCCGATTTAAGGTAAATATCTTTTGATTTGCACGAAGTTTGGCATAGCATACCCAATTAAGTCTACAATGATATGTGCTGAGTTTCGTGAAAATTGGTTCAGATTTAGATATAACTCCCATATATAGTTTCCCTATATGTCATCGATTTGCACGAAATTTTGCATAGCGTACTGAATTGAGCCTAGAGTGATGTGTGTTTAATTTCGTGGAAATCGGTTCCGATTTAGATATAACTGTTATATATAGTACTAGCTAAGTGCCCGCTACTTCATATGCGAAAAAGGGAATAAAAAATTATATTTCATATGGAAATCGTGAATACTGTATAATTTTGGTACTTCTTTCCAACTCTCTGTCAGTGACCCATATTCTAAATTTTAGGTTTCCAGCTCTGTCCCTTAATACTACACTTCAACAGGAATCTAAATTCAAAATCTCCTGATTCAATCAAATCCAAATTGTACCAAATTTAATACCATTTAGTACTTTTCATACTCAAATGTATCTCAATCCTGCTTTTAAATAGTCCAAATTTAAGAATTCCAGCTCTGTCTGTTCAATAAAAACCAAATTATACCAGATTTGGTACCATTTTGTACTTCTCGCACCCATATACTAAACCAATCTCAATATTCCAAACCTGCTTTCAATCGTAAATCCAAATTTAAGAATTTCAGCTCTATCTGTTCAAAAATTGTACCAGATTTGGTTCCATTCTGTACTTTTCCTTTTCCCAATCTTAGTAGCAACATTCAGGTTCTACCCATTCACCAAAGTCCAAATTGTACCAAATTTTGTGCTTTTCGTACCCAAAGTATGAATTTTCAAAAATACCTCAGTCATGCACTCCAATAATAATCTTAAATCAACATTTGAAAATTCCAGTTCCATCCGTTCAATCTCAGCCCTATCTGTTCGCACAAACACAATTTGGAAACATTTTGGTACCATTTAGAACTTTTTGTTTCTATAATTAAAAATTTCTTAAATCTCAGCCCTATCTGTTCGCACAAAAACAATTTGGAAACTTTTTGGTACCATTTTTGTTTCTATAATTAAAAATTTCTTAAAGTATGTTAAATCTACACTCCAAAAGTAATTTTAATTCCAAAATTCTGGAGTCCATCTCTATCCGTTCACACGTAATCAAGTTGTACCAAATATAATACAATTTAGTATACATAAGTACTGTGTTTCCATATCTTAATTCTATATTCCAACATCAACCAATAGTCCAAATTTTAGGTTTCCAGCTCTCTCCGCTCACCGAAATCCAAATTGTACCAAATCTAGTGCCGTTTAGTACTTTTCGTACACATAAATACGAATTTCCAAAGATGTCTTTATAGCCCATTTCAAGATTCCAGCTATATAAGTTCAATATGTATATATATACAATTTGAACTAATTTTAGTACTTTTAGTACACTTATAGGTTGAATTTCCAAAAACCCTTTTTTACATCTTTCTAACTTTCTATCAGTGTCCCACATTCCAAATTTCAGAATTCTAGCTCTTCCCGTTCGCCTAATACAAAGGGTACCATATTTGGTACATTTTAGTACTTTTCGTAGTTTCCAAAAACCCAGCCTTATCTCACGCCTACACACCAACAACAATCCACACTCAAAATTTCAAGCTTGTAGCTTCAGCCGTTTCGCCTGGGCGATGAGCTGTCATTAAGATTGTCCGATTTTATGTAAATGGTGCACCAAGGTCCCTATATATCTTTCGGTTTGAGCGAAATTTGGCATAGCGTACTGAATTGAGTCTAGTCTGATGTCTGCTAAGCTTCGTAAAAATCTGTTCAGATTTATATATAGCTTCCATATATAGTTTTCTTCGATTTTATGTAAACTATGCACAAAATGCCGAAAGTTTGTACGATTGACATATAATTTTCTCGAAATCGGTTCAGATTTAGATATGGCTCCCATTTGTATGTTCATTGAGTTTAGGTAAATATTGAGACTATAGCCTTTGTTAATTGGTGCAGATGCAGACACAGCTTACATATATACTACAAACGGGTATCTGAATGAGAAAATTTATGTAAATAAAATCGATTTACATAAATTTGTCCCATTATTCGCAAACGACTCTAAACATGCCCAAATGAAATGAAATTTAGCATAGCTTCCAGAAACATCATATATTCAAGTTTGTTCAATTTCTTGTCAATGTTCTTTCGAAAAGGCGTAGTCTGTTTGGAGACATTTGTAGAATATACCCAAAGTGGTAAAGGGTATCATATTGTCGGCCCAGTCCGATTTGTTCAATTTCTTGTCAATGTTCTTTCGAAAAGGCGTAGTCTGTTTGGAGACATTTGTAGAATATACCCAAAGTGGTAAAGGGTATCATATTGTCGGCCCAGTCCGACTTTACTACTTTCCTTACTGGTTTTACTGTGCCTATGGATATGTGTAGTCCCAGTTGGTGTGGAAATTTTTCCATATCCTTGGATCCTTTTTCCAGGATAAATTTTTCTCATATTAACTATTAATCGATGTGTCCTTTGGAATGTCAATCTGAATCTCCCTCGTATGATGCTTTGAAATAATTTTTTTTTTTTTTTTTGAATGTTTGATTGCGATATACGCTTCTATTGTTGAACAATCCAGTTTCTCTGATATTTCGGAAAAAGTCAGGTCGGATTGAAAAGTAGTAAAGTCGACTATATGTCATTCGTTTATTACAATAGGACAAAATGATGTAAATCAATTGAAAGCAAATATAATTTGACACCCATTGAATATTTGGATCCCAATTAACACGAAGTATGTCGGAAATATATAGGTGCAATTTTTTTACTTCTACAAAACGCAATTAAGTCGTTATATTCTCAATTTTGCACGTTGTGCAAAATTTCATGTCAATCTGACAAACACGAGGAGTTTGGTGCACCATTTACTTCAAATTGGATGAAAATATATATTAAAGATATACACGTTAGGTTATACTAATTCCAGAACGTTTTGTTCCTATCGTCCACATTTTGCGTCCTTGGTGCATCATTTACTTACAAATATATATATATATATATATATATTGGAGTTTTATCCAAATATGTACAGATTTCAACAAAACACGACATTCAGTACGTTTTGCAAAATTTTGTGACAATCGGCATAACATTGGGTCATCAGATGAAGCTATATATGGGAGCTATATCTAAACCTGAACCGATTCCAACAAAACTTTACACACGTTAAGCTATACAATCTTCTGTACGTTGTTCAGAAATTTGTGCCAATCGATTTAGCATTGGGTCTTGGTGAGCCATTAACATAAAATCATACGAAACTAGTAAGGAAAGTAGTAAAGTGGGACTGGGCCGACTATATGATACCCTTCAGCACTTTGGAGATATACTACATTGACATGAAATTGAACGAACTTAAATATGCGATATACAGATAATATGTAAACCGACTAACATCAATTCCAACACATGCCATTCTGCAACATATTCTAAATTTTGTAAATAGATTTAAAGCAAACATTACACAACATATTTGGTATGCTTCACTGTTTAAAATGTATCAATCAGGCACCCATTGATTATTTGGTGTACAGTCAACATGAATAAGTCGAAATTATATATGGAAGCTAATCTGAACCGATTTCAAGGAAACTTGCTAGATATTAATTTTTATTATTTTCTGTACGTTCTGTCAATCGGTCAAGGCATGAGCCTTTAGTGTACCATTTATTTAAAATCGGACGAAAATATATATATAGAAGGTAAATGTAAATCTGAACCAATTTCAAGAAAACTTGACACACTAATGGACCTAATTCAGTACCCTATGCCAAATTTCGTGCAAAATGAAATATATATATGCTCTTTGCAGCCCCATTTACCTCAGATCGGGCGAAAATATATATAGGAAATATATATAAATCTGACACGATTTTCTCGAAACTTAGCACGCATCATTCTGGACCTAATTCAGGACTCTATACCAAATTTCGTGCAAATCGAAAGATATATAGGGACTTTGTTAGACCATTTACCTAAATTCGGGCGAAACTATATAAAAATCTGAACCGATTTTCTCGAAACTTAGCACACATCATTCTGGACCTAATTCAGTACTCTATGCCAAATTTCGTGCAAATCGAAAGATATATAGGGACTTTGGTGCACCATTTACCTTAAATCGGACGAAACTATATATGGGAGCTATATCTAAATTTGATCCGATTTTCTCGAAACTTAGCACACATCATTCTGGACCTAATTCAGTACTTTGTGCCAAATTTCGTGCAAATGGAAAGATATATAGGGACTTTGGTGACCCATTTACCTTAAATCGGACGAAACTATCTATGGGAGCTATATCTAAATCTGAACCGATTTTCTCGAAACTTGGCACACATCATTCTGGACCTAATTCAGTACTCTATGCCAAATTTCGTGCAATCCGAAAGATATATAGGGACTTTGGTACACCATTTACCTTAAATCGGACGAAAATATATATGGGAGCTATATCTAAATCTGAACCGATTTTTCCTACTTTCAATAGGGTTCGTCCTTGGGCCAATTAAGTGACCTGTGCCAAATTTTATTCAAATCGGATAATAAATGCGACCTGTACTTTGTTAACAAAAATACATGGACGGACGGACAGACGGACATGCATAAATCGACTCAGAAAGTGATTCTATGCATATTCTCAAAAGGAACCATGGGTCTATCTCGATTATTATTGCCTGTTACAAGCATATGCACAAAGACATAATACCCTGTACCACACTGTGGATAAGGGTATAAATATATATATGGGAGCTATATCTAAATCTGAACCGACTTCAACGAATTTTTGCATCCCTTAGATTATAGTAACATCAGTACGTTGTGCAAAGTTTTGTCCCAATCGGCATAACTTTTGGTCTTTGGTGCACGAAAATTTATATGGGAGCTAAATCCAAATCTGAACCAATTTCAACAAAACTTGACACAGTTTTCGCAGCGTACTGAAGCCATAGTAGCTTCAGTAAGCTGCGACAATTTTTATTCCAATCGGACTAACTGTACCAAATTGCATCCAATTCTGATCATAAATGCGACCGGTACTTTTGTTTTGTTGTGTTTTGAATTACTATTGTAATAATTCGAATTTGACATGGAATTAATTATATTACAAATGTCATAATTTAAATTTCCAATTCAATATTTTTAATTCCACTCAAAATAATAATACTAAATTACTACTAAATCAAAGTAATAATAAATAATAATTAATAATAAAGTTTTTAATAAGAATTCCCTAATTACATTTTATATGCTTTGCATGTGAAAATTATGTAGAAATCCAAATTAAAAGGTGTGGACAGCAGAACAAAATTACCTTAGTGTTTGTGCGCTCCATAATACTCAGTAGATTGGTATTATTTTTTCCTTTAACAATTTCGTGATGTTGTGGTGATATCTCCAATTGCATATTAACTAAAATTTGGCTCTAAGAAAAACGAACGAAAATACGAAATGTTAGCAAAACTGAAACCATTCTACAGTGGTAAAAATTTAAAAATGTTATAAGGAAGGATGTAACTTTGAAATTAACATTTTAAATTATACTTTTTATGATAAAAATATACTGTTTAGATTTCTTATACAAACCGCAATATTTTCACATGAAAAATTTATCAACGTTTGTGTAGCTTCTTGAACGTGCCCAGCTTCTTTTTCTGAGCCCTTAACCAAAACCAGGGATGAGTGTAATTTCGGACGAGATGAGAAAATGACCTGGTAGGAAAACATACGATTTTGAAAGACCGCATTGTAATAGATATACTCAAACATTTCAAACCAACCTGCACATTATATTTCTGCTCGACCATCGTTACATACGGTGTATCCCTATCCGGTTGTGGACGTCCTGCTGCCATTACCGGCAATTCAAATGATATCAATAATGGTGTAGATAAACGTACCAATGATCTGGCTTTTTCTACACCCTCCAGTGAACCGCATAAAGAAACTTGATTTGATTTTTCCGTTGGATTCGAACGATTCGAATCGGGAAAATGTATATGTGTAGAGGTCTCTTCCATTATGCGTTTTATATTGTTGCCACCACGTCCTATAATATAGGAGTGATCGGTATAAGAGACATCCATTTTCATAATAACACGGGTGCCCTAAAAAAAGAGACAAGACGTGAATTGATGTTGTTGTGTAAGTGGGATAAAAATGATCTGATATAAAAAAATCTTACTCTTGAGTCTAAACTAGCTAAAATGCGTTCTTTAGCTTTAGCTACTTCCTCGGCTTTACCCACAATGCGTACATGAGGATCTTAAAGGAAAAAAATGCAAAATTCATTTAAAGATCAAATGGGGTTTATAATTAGAACCTACCCTTTTTACTCTTTGCTCCAATTTTAAGTCTACAAGGCCAGCTTATATATGTTTCAGTAGTTTTCATAACCTAAAAATATATTAGAAGTTAAATAAATAAACTAAACTTCATTTGGAAGTCATTTGATACTTACGCTTTCGAAAAAATACTCAGCTCCATTCATACCCTCTATGGAGCTATCAGCTAAAAAATTGTCGAACAAAATTATTATGGACAAAAAAGCCAACAATAAAAATATTTTTAATTTTTCTTCAAAATAATTCCCGCAAAAAATCTCAAGAAAATTGTTTTTAATTCATCCATTCCTTACCTTTTATCATTTGCTCCAATTTCTGTCGATCAACTTTGAAACGTTCCGTATGTAAATCATCGGGATTCGAAACACCCAATTTCAATGCTATCGCTCGTATGTCACTCCAATCGCTATCCACCGATGATATTTCACTTTGTGTTTCACTGGGAGCACCGCTCGATGAGGCCAGTGTTGCTGCGGCCGATGCTGCAGCCACAGTGGCTGCAGTCGGATACAATAGTTTGTTGATACAGGAAATCATGATGTTCGAAGTAACAATATACGTGTGAAGATATAAGTCGTTAGATTTTTGTTAGAAGCGCCAAAAAGTAGGTATGTCGTAGTGAAAAAAATGGTATTGTGTTTTTGTTTTGTTGTTTGTGTAGTGGAAAATGGTACTGCTGAAATGAAATATATAAAAATAATATGTTAAAAACATTATACAATAAGTAACCAGTTCGCCACTTTGGGTACATGCAACAGAACATACATAAAACAGACACATCATCTTTAAAGGATATTTGAAATCGAATCGGGCGAAACTTAATGTGTTATCTTCATAAATATTTGAACCTAATGGAATATACACAATCCATTCTAAAATCTATGAAAAATCCAATTAGGTCAATTTGGACTTAATTGAGCAACCGTGGCATATACCATTTGGTATGCTGCAGCACAGTGCGGTGCACACAGTGCTCATAAAATCAGATGAAAATGTATATGGGAGATATATATAAATCCAAATCGAGTTTTCCAACATTAATACACTTCTTCCAAACTCTACTCTTCCAAATTTCGTGTAAATCGAAAACCGATTTCAATTAAACTTCGCATACGTCTACCTGGACCAGGGCTGCCAGATTTGACGATTTATCGTCATTTTTAAAAATTGACATAGGGTAGACAGCAACAAAAACAATATAGAAGAAAATTGGTGAACGGAAAAGTTGTTATATTAAATTTAAGTTTCAATTTATACAAAGTTATTACAATTTTAAAAAGGTTCGATTTGAAAGCAGGTTATTCGGTACACAATTAACATCAAATCGGACGATAATATATTTGGGAGCTTTTTCTAAATCTGAACCGATTTCAATTAAACTTCGCAAAATGTTGTCTCAATCGGATAAATATTGGGAGTTTGGTGCACCCTTATCGATTTCAACAAAACTTCACGGACATCAAACTGAACTTAAGTGCGCTAGGCAAAATTGCTCACAATCGGAAAAATATATGGGGTTAGGTGCACCTATTACATCGGACCTATATTTAAATCTTCACAGACATCAAACTGGATTAAACTCAGCATGCTGAGCAAAATTTTGTGTCAATCGAACAAATATACGAAATCTAAGATTACTATACGTCCTCTTTTTTAGAGGAAAATCATCCATTTTAACTGGCTGTCATTTATAAAATTTATTTTAAACACATTTTGAGTTCTAATTGGGTAAAAAATGTTCCTAATTATTAAATTTTGGCATTTTCAGGGTTTTCTTGACACGTTTTACACGTTATTTGATATTTTGGGCCTTTTTTTAATTTTACGAAATTTTGCCTTTAAAGTGACTATAATTTGTTATTTCTTGTAGCCCATGGGTTGAATAATATCCTTGGAAAACATATTGGACATAGGTCTACTTCTTTGCTATGTTCCTTATACAAAGATCCCAAGATTAGTTGCTTCGAAATATTTGGCCCTGTCGTACTTAATAACTTTTAACTCATTTATAAATAAACAATATTTATAAATAAACCTAATTGTGCGTTTTATACACATAATATTAATTTTATTAAAAATATATTTTTATACCCTCCACCATAGTCATTCCGTTTGTAACACATCGAAATATTCATTTCCGACCATATAAAGTATATATTCTTGATCAGGGCAAAATTCGAGGACGATCTAGCCATGTCCATCCGTCTGACCGTCCGTCCGTCTGTTGTAATCACGCTATCTTCTGAAGGAATGGAAATAGGGTGCTGAAATTTTGCATAGGGTTGTCTTTTGTCTGCAGGCAGGTCAAGTTCGAAAATGGGATATATCGGTCCACGTTTAGGCATAGCTCTCATATAAGGGTGCCCGCCAAATTTCGGTATTTTTGTAGCCGAATTCGCTGAAATTTGGTACATTGGGTTCTTATTGGGTACTAAATGTCACTACAAAAAATTATAAATATAGGTCCACTTTTTCTAGTAGCCCCCATATAACGGTACCTCCTAATTTTCAGTATTTTGGGGGTTCTGAACCTATTTTTCCACCGAATTGGCTGTAATTTAGTATTTTGAGTTCTTAATAGGTACCAATTTTCTCCACACAAAAATTATGAATATAGGTCAATTTTTCGGGTAGCCCTCAATATAAGGGTATCCCAAATATTCGGTGTTTTGGGGTTCTTGAGCGCGTTTTTCAACCGAATTCGCAGCAATTTGGTATTTTGTAGTCGTATATAGTAACAAATCTCCCTACCAAAAATTATTAAAATAGTTATCTAATTTGTTCCGCGTTTTGGTTTTTGTTCTAAGAGTCTGTCGTAAACATTTAACCTGCGTAGGATATCGAGATAAAGCTAGAACATAAGGTTCGATAATGAACTATACATGAACTATAACCCGCATTTAGGCCTAGCTCCTGTGTGGGAGGTATCAGAAGGAGTGGACCGATAGTCCAAATTTCCGAACCTGAACTAAATTTGGAAGAAATAATAAGATAGGCACAGGTTGGATGAAATCAAAATTTTGTGGAACATGGTTCACATTATGGTAATCGCGTTGTAGAAATGTCGGTTTAGGTGCACTTTTTGGTATTTGCATTTCAAGTGCCTGTCAATATATCTATGGTGGAGGGTATCCAAAGTTCGGCCCGGCAGAACTTAACGCTTTTTCACTTGTTATCTTTTATTTTAATTTTCGAAGTCTGATCGCCTTATTAAATGGTCTTAGATTTTTTCTTTACTGATCTAAATATATATATATATATATATATATATATATAATTTATAGGGTCGGAAATGATTATTTCGATGAGTTACAAACGGAGAAACAAAATTAATATATCCCCCATACTATGGTGGAGGGTATGAATACGTAAGCACCTGTAAATATTTAAGTGTATCTCCCTCATCCGAATATATACGACAATATAATTGGTATCACTTTAAAGTGTCTCTTATGCTCCATTTATCAAAAACAATAGGGTTCTTCATTAGGCAGAACCCATCCTACATGCAAAATTTCGGGAAGACTGGTACATAACTGTGGGCTGTGTTTACAAATTATAATGGACAGACGGACGGACGAACGGACGGACACACATGTCTAGATCGTTTCAGCTAGTCGAGATATGACGATCGATATACTTAAAGGTGGGTCTAGTACAAATAATTCGTGGCGTTACAAACTCTTGGGGCTGCAAAAAGCCATAATACCCTGACAAAATTTTGTGTATATTAGTCTCACCTTCTACCAAATTGGCTGTAATTATGTATTTTGAGTTTTTTTTTGTGCAACACAATAGTATCCTCCAATTTTGGATTTTTGCGCGTATTTCAGTCAAATCTCCTGTAAGTTAGTATTTTGAATTCTCATTCGTGCCAAAAACAATACATATATAAGGGGTAGGCCCCATATATACAGACCCCCATTATTCGGTAATTTGAGTACTTTTTCCAACCAAAATTTACTTTTAATTTAAGTATACCATAGTTTTATGCCCACAATATATAAATCAACAAATTATTAAATAAAGCTTTTATTTAATTGTTTCTTCTGTTATTTTTTTCAAAACATTTTCACATTAGTAATCTACAAAACTTGTTCAATTATTTCAATTTTTAAACAAATTAACGCCATTTTCGATCCACCTTTTTTCTGCAAAATCGTAATAAGTGTCCACCAAGCTTTTATATGTGGTATTTATTTATTTCATAAACCCACTCACCTAATTCTGTCCAAAAAAATCAGGTAGATTTCAAAGAAATGTAAGTAGTTGTTATATTTATTGTCAAATTTGGTATTTACATACTTATAAGTTCACACGTATATATGTATTTTTGTCTCAAACTGTGCTGGTCGGAATGTTTTGTGTCTGCACCATGAATATTATTTTTGCTAATAATACTATTATGTTCGACTGATACAAAATTTTACGTTGCGTGCCGAATTGAGTAAAGAATTTTGATTACTGGTTTAAATCAAGATCGCAATGTATTTTTGCTGTAAAACCACCGAATGAAATTCCGTGGTTCTGGTATTAACTAGGATTATTTGCTTCGCTCGAAAATTAGCAAATTGGCGGACCTATAAAAAATGATGTTTTGGAAAATTGCATATTTTCGACCAAAAACCAAGCTGGAAAATAAGAAAGATCTTGATCGATTACATTAATTTATTATATTTATTATTTTTGAGTTATCGTGCCCGCAATTCTTAAAAAATACTCTTTTGAAACGCGTTTTAAGTTTGAGGTAAAATGAAATTATATAGACAATGGTTCCTTCTGAGAATATGCATAGAATCGCTTTCTGAGTCGATTTATACATGTCCGTCTGTCCGTGTTAAATTGTAAACAACGTGTAGGGAGCATCTATTATCCGAATGAGATGAAATTTGGCACATGTCACTTATTTGGACCAAGGACAAACCCAATTCCAATGGTGAAAATCGGTACAGATTTAGAATAGCTCCCATACATAGTTTCTTCCGATTTTAAATAAATGGTGTACCAAAGAGTCAAATGTGTCAATTGACACACAATTTTACACACCATACTGAAGTTGCTATAACATAACATGTACTAAGTTTTATTGAAATAGGATTAGATTTAGATATAGCTCCCATATACTCGTATATTTTCGTCGGATTTTTAGCAAATGGTGCACAATTTGCAAAATTTAGACCGATTGGCACAACATTTTCCAAATTTTAATTGAAATCTTTTCAGATTTTGATATGCCTCCCATATATATTTAGATTGTGCACCAAAGAGTCAAATTTAAGCCGATTGGCACAAAATTTTGCCCAAAGTACTAACGTTAGTATAACCTAACTCGTGTCAAGTTTAATTGAAATCGGTGTAAATTTATATATAGCTCCTATATACCAAACTCTTGATTTTTGTTCGATTGACAACGTTCTAAAGTTAGTATAGCCTAACATGTGTTAAGTTAAGGTATTAAATTGGGCCTAGGATATTGCGTTTTATAAAAATTGGTTCAGATACAAATATGGTCCTATCTTAATGATAATCGTGCACCAAATAATGAA